GTAGTGAGATTTTAGCCTCACATACCGCCAGTTCTGTAATTTTAAAGTAACAGATAACGAGGGACTCGACTTGCTTTTTTAAAAACATTTTTAATTAATATTTTAAAGATGCTGTTATATTTTTAGTCCCAATGTGTATTGTTTTTTCAAGAAAGCAGCTCCGCCAATGTAGAAAAAAGCACACTAATATTAACTAATATCATTGTGTATATTGGTTTATAGTGCTATACAGAAGAAAATTTTTGAGTGGCGATATTTTAAATTAAAAGACTTAATACTTGCTTGCGCCCCTGAAACAGTTTGTTGGAACAGTTTGTTGTGTTATCACAAAAATTGTCTTCTGTATAGCACTATAAACTATATAAATAATGCTAATATTCTAATTAGACTACCCTGTTCCAAAAAAAATCTATTATAAAAACCTATAATTTAAAAATATTTCTTTAATTATTAAAAGTTGAATGAATTCTGGATACTTACCTATATTATTAAATCACCTTAATGTAAAACGTTACAGGGCATTTATTTCTGTACCAGCATATTACAATTAATTATTTCATCAATTTTCGCAAATAATACAATTTAATTGAGCAAGAATTTACAAAAAAAAAATCTAAAATACATACATAAGTAATTGCCAATATTAGCAATAATTTTTTTTTATGATTTTGCAAAAAAAAATTTTTAATTCATAAAATTTTTCATAATACTTTAACCCTAAGGGTATCTGAAATTAAATTCTCATTAACTAATGCCATGACGAACTGAAGGGTTAAAAGAGTTCACAAACCTTACAAAAGATAGGTTTTTTTTGTGTTTTTTTTATTCCTGTACATCTTCTTTTTTGGATTGTTGAGAAAAACTGAAATTATTGAATCGGTTTAACTATTTTTAAATATTGTATTATTCTTGTTTGAATATTACAAGTACCAATACCAGATACTTGAATCTGTTTTAAGTTAATTGCTGTAAGGAAACAGCAAATTGCATTAAATTTAATTTTATTGAGAAAGTCCAGTTAAACCGATTAAATATTTATTTTTTCTTGTTTTATATTATTTTTTAAGCAGGTTTTGAACAGACATTTTGCGAAGAAAAAATATTATTTGTATTGAAAATTTGTACTAAGTTTTCTGCTTAACTTGGGTTGTTTAATTACAATTTAGATTAAACTTAGCAACTTGATTTTTACTGTCAAATAATTAAAAGTCAATATGCTTGCCATCAATGAAGAGGATGTAGTGATTTGAGAATTTGCCTACAGAGACAGCTTATATTGAATCAGCCAAATGATTGGTTTCGTAAATAAAGTCTTTTGAATGAAATTGAATTTAAAATTTGTATTTTATAACAATTAGATAAAAAAGAAATTATCTCTACCCTATAAGAAAGGGATTTATGAGAGTGTCGTTTAAGTGTTGAGGCTATAAGCATCCGTAACTTTTCGTTAAGATTCGCTTTGAGGTGAAAACCAAACAAGTGCGATTTTTCGCGGCGAAATGTCAAAATTCATAAATTAATGGGACTGCCTGTAGAGTGAAGCAAAATTCGACGACTGTAATGGAGCCTAAAATCGTACCGCTGGCGCTTTTTTTCGTTTCCATGTGTGTATTGAGCAACTGACTGTTTCGCTTTGCTGCTGTTTCGTGTTATCGTCCGCCGTTCACCGCTTTGGTTCTGTTTTAACACTTAAATAGCTTATATTTCTTTCAAATTGCATTATTTTGCATTTTTTATTTAGTTTGTTGTTTCCTCTCCGTACGAGTTTCTTTTTTTTTTAACGAACATCTTGTTTATCTAGCATGTCTGATTGGAACTCTTTTTATAATCTTTTACACCTACATATATGTAAAGCATTTTTAAACATTTTTCATTTTTTTAATATTTTTGGTCTTTGTGTTTGTTTTTTTATTATTTTTGCCGTTTTCTTAATGCATACTCGTATTTCACTTTTATTTTCATGTTAAACTTCAACTTCAAGTACGGGAAGTACACGCCAAAATTTCACTTTCTTTTTGAGGTCGAAAATAAAATGAAAACAAAATAGCTTTTTGTTTTTTCTTGTTGTTGTTAGTGCTTGTCGTAACGTAATATTCTCATTTCTCTGCGTATTTTGTTTGTTTTTTCCTCTCTCGATTTTTTTTTATTTAGTGTACTCTTCTTGGTATAGGTAAGTAGTAAATCAAAAAACAGCAAAAAAAAAAAGCTGAAAAACCAAAATATTGTGTAATAGTTGGCGAGGCCGGTTAAATATTTATGTACACAACTGTGTGTAGGTACAATCAAGCTTTACGATTACATCTGGTATTGTTAGTGTTACTTTTATTTAGTGTAACATTTATTTTGTTTTATTGTTTTTTTTTTTTGGTATTGTTGGATGTTTTATTATGACTTATGCTTATGTATTGTGATTTGTGAGTATTAATGATGAAATCATGAATTATTATTATCCCTACATAACTGACCATTTTTGAGAGATGAGGTTTTTTTTTTGGGGGAAGTTAAATTATTATTTGGTTAACTTAAGATATATTTTTTGGCGTTACTGCGATGTTAAAATTATATTATCAACTTAAAATGCCTAATAGTATGGTTTCTTTTTAGTAGTTAATTTAAAAATGAAATTTTTTTTAAATAAATCGTAATTAAGTAAAGTATGCAATTAACTGAGGTTATGTTCAATAAGTTATAGAGTTAAAAGAAAAAAATTTAATAAAGTTAAGGAAAAGCTCTAGAAGACAATTAATGAAATATAAGAAAATTTTGTAAGTGGTTGAAATAAATAAAAGGTACACAAAAAAGCACATTTCCCGTTTATAACTGTTTTCGTATCCTTGGGATAAACTTAAAATTTATAGTGTAGTGTTAATGATTTGTTAAAATGAGTGTCGCATAATTTACTGGCTTTACCTATTTGCTACATTGTTGCACATCTTAAGGGCGGAGTGAAACTGTTTTCAATCAAAACTGTTTTATAAAGAATTAAAAAGTTTGGCTAAATTAAATTTAAAGAATTAAAGCAATTTTGGGATAAACTTAAAAGGTTTAAGTAAGCGAGTTTTTAAAGCTCTTGATTAAAGATAGTAAGCAAATTTATAATTTTGATTCCACAACTTTTATTTTATTTAGAAACTTTTATCAGGGTAATATTCCATTTTGATTATAGACTTAAATATGGAGAATTCAAATATTGTTATATTTAAATACGTTTTATACTTAATGAACTTAAGCAGTTTTGCGTTATTACCATACAAATTTTCTGCATTATAATTGAAGCAACAATTTTATTATGCACTCGAAATTAGTTAATCAAAGTATATGATAAAAGCCAACTACTTAGTATTTGAAATATGAAATAATTTTAAAGTTATAAAATTAAAATGAAAGAAGAAAATTTTAGTAAACTACTAAAAGATAATAAAAATTTTTTAATTGATTTTTTTTGTTAATTTTAGGTTTACAATAATTTAAGAGTTTACAGACAATGATGAATGTAAATATAAAACTTGCTATTATATTTTTCCTTTTTGTACAAACATAAAAAAAGTTGAAGAGAAATATTATGAAAGTGGTTTAATATTTTCATTTTCATGATGTCATGAAATTTTTCAATTATAATCAAACCGGTATAAAATGTTATACGCATTTATTTTTTTCTTATACTAATTGTTGATGTTAAATTTTATGTACTGTTATATAATTTTTTTTTGGTTGAATCTGCTTATTACGTATATCCTTCTTTGTTTTGCTTGCGCCAGGAAAAATCACGTGTTTCAGTAGTATGAGGAATGTATGTATGCAGTAACCAATGTCCAATATAAAATTTTGTGACTTATGTTACCTCTACAAAATGGAATATATTTTTAAGTAACCTCCAGTTGTATGTTATTCCTAAGAAAATTTAATAATTAAGCAATTGTTTGCAAATATTTCTATTTAAGTAAATTTTTTTTTGCAGCTCAAAGTTAATTCTAAAATTTTTGCATTTTTTTACGTTTTTTACGTTGTTGTTATATTAGTAATTTAAGTAAAAACTATAATATGTTAAGATAAAGCAAACAGGCAAATAAAATTTTCTGCCTTACAATTTTGTCAAATATTCAGAAATATCATTCCATGTTCAACAACACAAACGAAAAGAGACTGGTAGACATTCTGAACATGTTATCGAATTTAAAACCGCGTAACAGTATATTTTGGACACAGGAAAGCATTATTAATGCAATAAATATTTTTGAATTTCCTTTTAAATTAATTTTTCATTAAAATTTAATGATTAAATAATATTTAGCTTTATTAGTTTTGTAATTTGGTGTTCTTCAATAGGATCAAGTAAATTACTTGTGCCGATGAAATAGTATTGTCCAAAATAGAATTCATATTTTATTACCACAATAATGTAAATGATAAAAAATTAAATATGTAGGTTATTATTTAATTAGAGCAAATTAAAAAAAATTGTTCTTAAAAATATTGGCATTGAAAATTGCGGAAATTTTAAATTGTATACTTCTATATATTGTTAATAAATTTTAAGAAAAAAATATTTCTAAAATTAAATTGATAATATATCAATTTGTCTTGAAATGAACAATTTGGCTTATGAATAGATTCCAATTAAGCATCTATGAAATTTGATACAAATAAATTAGAACAAGTTATAGAAAAAATTTGTAATATGTTAGTTCAACTTTTATTTACCCAATTTAATTTGCATATATATCAAAGCGCAATATATAGAATTTTTAAACTCACATTTCCTCGCATTTTTTCTTGATTACAAAAACTAACAAAATAAAATCCATCTTCCATTAATTTAAAAATTGTGAATTTATTTTAAAATTTTTTTTGTCGTTTTATTTTTTCCGAATTTTAAAACTAGTTTTAATTTTATACAATTATAATGAATTAATTAAAATTCAAAATAAACAAAAAAATTAAGACTAATTTTCTGTACTCTTCCTCATTTTAATTTTTATTTTGTTTTTTTCTCTTTCCAGTTTAATTCCTAATCTTTAAATGTTTTTATCAAAAGCACCTTAAAAATAAAAGAAAAAAGTGAAAAAATAAAAGTTTAATTCTAAAAAAAAAAAAAAATTATCAAAAAAAAAAAAAAAATTGTTAAAAAATAGTTGCTAAAATTAAAATAATTTGTAAAAAAAAGAGAAGTGAAATACAAAAAAGAAGAAGAGAGAGAAAAAAAAAATTTTTTTTTTTTTTAATTAAATAAAAAATAATTTCCAGTTTTGCAATAATTAATCAAAAGAGAAGAGCAGGTTTAACCCGTAGTTTTTTTTTTTTAATTTAAAATTTTTTATCAAAGCGATTTTGTATTTGTTTGTTTGTTTTTATTGTTTTTTTCTTCATTATTATTTTTACATAATTTATGCAAATGTGACAAATTGTACAAAGTTTGGTTTTATTTTTTTTTTTAAATTTAAAATATCAAAGCATAGTGAGTGTGTGAAAGAAAAAAAGAAAAGAAAACGCGAAAAAAGAGTATAAAAAAAAAGAAAGAGAAAGAAATATATAAAAAAAATTATGTGTTAGTTAAAAAAAAAAGAGAAAAAGAGAAAAAATAATAATAATAATAATTTTTAATTATAAAAGTTATATAATTGTTAACGTCTTTTAAAAAATCTAAAAAAAAAAAAAATAGAAAAAAAAAAGGAAAACTTTTGCTTTCATGAAAGTGTAAAGTTCAACGCAACCCTGCTAAACAAGAATTTAAAATAAAAATTTCAAAAGAATTTTATATTCGTTTTATACGAAAATTTCCGAGAGATAAATAGAAAATAATAAGAGAATAACTTCGATTTTCTTCCAAACAAAAAAAAAATTTTGATTATTATTACAATAGCACTCCCCTGACAAGTTTGGTAAGTTTATTGTATAGTTTTATTTTATAATTTTATGAAATTTATTTAAATAAAGCAAATTTTTTTATAAATAATTTTTATACTTTAACTAAATTTCTATACAAATAAGTCTTTGTCTAAACTTTGCGAAAAGCATTAAGTATTTTTTTAAAACAAAAATGTTCGTCTCCTCAACTTCTTCAAATTAGAGTTCTTCAAAATCATGAAAATTTTACTCGTATGTGCCATGGAGGAAAAAAAACTTGTAACATCTATGGTAACCATTGAAAATCGAACATTCCCATTCTGATGTTAATTTTTGAACTCAGTTTCTTCCTAAACTGTATAACTCGAATGTGTTTCCAAACTTTAATAGTCTATTCTATTACATATATTTTTCTTTAATTACTAGGACCTTGCAGTTGAATTTTTTATAGTCAGGCTTTAATTTCACAAATCATTAAGTCTAACTGAGTGGCAACTAGACTGACGCAGATATTTATTGTTTATTTTTGCTGGTAATGTTTCTATAAACATTGTTCTTATCAACTACTTAAAATTTTGTATTTAACAAGTCCATAATACTTATTTTATTTAATTAAGTTTTTTCTGCTTATATTTGATCGGAATATTTCATAAATAATTCCAAAATTAGCAAAGTAAAAAACCTTCCAATGCATATTATTACTATTTTTATAAAATATTCATATAGTTTTTGGAAATATACTTGAGAGTTCATTGTCAGCTATAACATTAATAAATAAATTTTCTATTAAAAAATGACTCAGAACTATTCACCTCGTTCATATTTTGTGATTCACTTTGTATGGTATTTTTTATGTGTAATTTGCAATTTTAAATATTGATACTCATATATAGGAATATAAGGAACCTAAAAACATGCGTTCGAAACAATTCGTCCGTTTACTTCTTAAAATTTATTATAATGTGTCTCTGAATTTCAATTATCTTTTAAATTAGTCTAGTTTCTAAAAGAACTTAACAGATTTGTATATCGTACTAGTATTTATGTTGCAACAACAGTTTCAGAGTTGAAATACAAGATTTAGAACAAGATTGCTGCAGTTCATCATTAATTGATGGCAGAATTTACATTTTAATTTTTTATTTTGGTATTAATATTTACAATTTGCTAATGAGATTTTTAAGCAATTTATATTTAATAGCTTACAATTTTGAATTTCCAGGAAAACCAATTAGATTTTAATACTTAAAGCAAGTAGCTAATTATTAAAAATATTTTATTGGAAATGAGCATAATTGTTACTCACATAATATTATTGAATAAATTTTATAGCACAGAATTTGTTTTAAGAATACCATAAAAATGTTCTACAGAAATATTCCGCGAATAAAATTCATAAAAAATATTTAAATAAATATTTTTTTTTTCTGAAATTTTGTTATATACACCGTTACAGCTGCTGTAGTTAACCAGTAAGTTATTAACATTCGGTTTTTTAAAAATTTATAATTTCCCAAGGTTTAATTTTTGAAATTTTTCTCAGAAATTCTTGTTGTGCCAACATTTAATTTCATTTATAATTTTGTATTAATTTTTATATGAATAAAATAAAATTTGAATAATTTATTTATTATATTTTTAAAATTTCATATTTTAGTGGAACGAGAGTGTAAGAATATTATCAAAAATTTTAGAATTTTTTTAAACAATACTTAATTAAGGGCAGAAGAAAGTTGATTAAGCCGTTGATTGAGAACATTTACCTATTCTTAAATATAGTTAAGCATTCTCGATCAATTGTACTTATGGCCTATATTTATATCTAAATTATAGAATCCGAATCAAAGTTCAGGAGTCTGACAGACAAACTTAATGAATTTTTTTCCACAATTTCATTTTATTTTCTTAATTTAATTTTCTTCCGGAATTTTTGTTTTAGTTTTAATAAGTATTTTTTTGTATTTTTTGTCAAAGATAAAACAAAAATTACCGATCGACTAAATTAATTTATGTGGAACATGAAGTATTTTCTATTTTTTTAATTTTATCTTATTTATTTGTGAGAAGATCATCTTTTATTTAAATTAATCATAAAAAATCACTTGTTACTATATACAAACTTCTCAATTTTATTGTGTATTATGTGTACAAAAACATTAAGATAATAGTGTATTATCTTAAACTGAGCCCAAATGTCTGGTTGGATTAGGTAGGCACACAAAAAACAGAAAAAAAAAAATTAAGCAGAAATATCAAAAGATTCCAAAACTACCTAATAATTTTATTCATTTTTTTTTTTATTTTGTGCCATAAAAAGTGTCTCTTATGTAAAATAAAGAAATAAAATAAATTTAAAAACAGCAATACACACATAAAAACGCTAGATTTACCGTGAATGATAAAAAAAATTTAAAATAAAAATAATTTACATTTTAGTCCCTCTAGCCTCTAGCTTTTCTTCTCTCCTCCTCAAATCTCTTCTTTTTTGTAGTGTCTATGATTTCTTCTTTTATTTTCTTCATAGTTATTTCATCGCAATTTCAAATTTCTTTGCTTCTTTTTTGTCAGTTTTAAAACTTAATTTTATATTAACCTAAAAAATTAAAAAAAAAAAACTACTAAAATATCTTAAAATAAGAGGAAAACAGCCATAAAAGAAGAAGAAGAAGAAATAGGAAAAAATATACACGAATTACGTCATAAATCAAAAGTTCACAACACAAACACTTATTAAAATTGAAGAGTGTGTTTATTTGCAGAGAGCATATACAGGTACAAAAAAAAGTGAATTATTACTTCACGAATTGTAGATTAGTTTTATTTTGTTTTTTTCAATTTTATTGGATGACGCGATGCATTGTAATTCACAAGGAGTTTATGATAAAATCGGATTATAACAATATGAAATTGTAGTGTAGTACAATAAATGAATAACTCATCCAATGAAGAAACATTTATAATGTTTTGATAGGGACAATATTATGATGGAATCAATTAATTCCTTATTCTTGAAAAACCTAGGAGTAAAACCAGTGGAGTATAAAAATATCAGAAGATTTTGCATGTTTTTTGCATGATTTTGAGAACTGTCAACAGCTGATTGCTGTCGAATTGGCTGGTAATGTATTCATACCTCTGGAACTGAGTCGATAGAGCGTTCGTCTAGAATTGGTTTGAGTTCAGTTCGAGGAGAAAGTTGTTTTTGCCTTGACTCCGCCTTTTGTCTACGTTATGCTTATTAGTTTCACTCTCTCTGTCTTTCTATTTATTAATATTTTAAGAACCATTCAAGATAATAATGAAACCATGTTAATAATAGCTCTTCACAAACTAATCAAGAGCTATTTCTAGTTAAAGTCGTGAAAATTCTGCTATGACAAAAATGAAATGTTCAAGCTACCAAATTGACTGTTTAAATTAACAGTTAATTTAAACTCGTTTTTTGCTAATGTTTTAAATAAAAAATATATTCAAGTGTTGCCGCTTTTTCGTGTTCAATATAAGTTAAAGTATTACAGCATACAGAAAATATGTTTAGTAATGCATACTATTAAACTGGATATTTATTTTACTAAAAATTTTATAAAAAATGCATATTAAAAATCATATTATTTTATCGTATTAATTTTTAAGTCTATATTTTTCATTTTTATTTTTTCAAGACTATTTAAGTGTATGTATACTTGATTTGTTTTTGTAAATTATTCGCTTCATTGAATAGCAATTTGAAGTGTTAATAATCGATTTGTTATGCTTTATACTGCTTTTATATATTATTCATTTATATTTTTAACGTTTTAATCTTTTATACGTCTTATTGTAATAACGAATTTATTATAAGCATGATTAATTATTATTAAAAGAAAAAGAATTAAAGTTCGTTCTTATGAAAGACTCTTTCGTTTTGTTTATATTTTCTTCAATTTTTAAAATAAAAAATATAATAATAAAGTTCCGGAATCCGGAATAATATCCGGTTTATGTTTTAATGTTACTTGCCTATGATTGCTAATATGTCTGATTCTCTAAGCCTTAAATATTTGTCTAAGACTATAATAATTCTCTAAGACTGAAAATTATAAGAATTAAGTAACTAATTAATAATTATAAATTGTTATTATATTGAGATGCGCTTAAACATTATTAGTTAGGCATTATATAAGTTATTTAAATAGGTGGATTAAAAATTTAATCGGCCTATTTAAACAAGTCTGCCAGTTTAAAAGTAATTGAAATCTGATTGATTTTTTTCTTTGCAGAAGCAATTTGGAAAATCCAAATTTAAAAATTTTTTTATTTATTTATTTCCGGATATATATATATAGGTATCATATGACAAGGTCTACATTTTAATAAAACATATTTATCAGTCTGTTAATATATATGTGCATTTCTTTTCAAATTTAAATTTAAAGTAGTATAAGTAAGTTAAATTTGATATAAACATAGGTTCAGGATTATGATTTTAAATAAAATGTGTGCAATACTTTTCAGAGTCACTCCGGAAATTCTATAATTTTTATTTCAATTCTTACTGAATGTAATCTACTAAGTTAGACAAGTGCTAAAATTTACTGGAAAAATTACGAATATTTCCTAATTTGAAATTCAATTGAAAGCTTCATTCTCTAAATCATAATAAAATTTTATAAGTACACATTTAAGCACGTAAGTTTTTAAACCCTTTTAATATACTAACAGAAATTAGTTCCCCCTATGTAACGCCACCGCAGTCTATAATGGTATATAAAAGATATAGGCGTATCATATAATCAAGAGAAATTTAATCATTATTTGACAAATATTAAGTGACTTTGAAGTTTATGATATTTTTAAATTTAAAGTATATATATATGTATATATTAAAAATAATATTTTTGACAAAACGCATTTATATTAAAAAAAATGCCTTCTGTCATCTTGTGTAATTCTTTCGAAACATATTCTTAATTTCGTTAACATGTCAATTACTTATTAATCGATTCTTAATCAAAATTTTATTTATATATCGAATTTCTTACCGACAATAATCAAT